CGAAAGCCTTGTTCGAATAATATTGTAAGGCACATTTTCGACACGTCCCAAGTCTCTCAAGTTTTCAAGTGAGGGGTGCGTTTTATGGAATCGAAGTCGGAAAGCGACTCGAGAGATCGACTATTCAAGACCCACGCTGTCTCGAGAAAAGTAGTCGCCATACGTTAAAATAATACGGAAAAAAAAAAGAAAAGTATTCATCTATGTATACGCAAAAAGTTTTCTTGAAAAAACATGTAAAAAAAAAAAATTACATATACATTTATAGTTTACATATTCGTCGCATTAAACAAACGACGAGGCCTGTATACATCAACATTACTGCTATTATCCACCCAAATCCATCGGATTCATCTGCATTGATTTCAAAAGTAACAGAACAATTCTGTTCTGACAAATCTATTTAACATGTTAAGAAATATCACGGTGCATCTTTTTTAGCGATTCACAGTGGTTTTCCATTATTCCCTTTAACAAATAGCACACTACTCTTCTCTGGTAGCGACGGGAAACAACGTTAGATATTGCAATAAATATGGTATAGCAAAAGCTTGACGATGCATGCTCCGTTAGAACCTGGCTCTGATGTAAACAGCAGAAGCATCATGTTCTCCATAACCAAGGCGTTTAGCGTGTTTGTAAACTTCATTCGCTGCAGCAGCCAATGGTAATGGCTGTTCTAATTGATCGCTCATACCTAAAGAGAGTCTTAAGTCTTTTTGCATATGCTGAAGTGGTAACTGTGTAGGAAATCCACCTTCGATGATAGCTAAAAAATTAAATCATATTATCGATATCAAAGAATTAGATGTAATTTACTAATGATCGATCAAAAGAAATAAGACAAAAAAATGATAATAATACCTTTCCCTTTGTCAAGAATAGCAGGACAAGCCAATGATGTTAATTCTAAAACTTCAAGTACGTCCTTTTGCTGAAGGCCAGCACGATCTGCTAAAGCCATGCTCTCGGCCAAACCAGCAAGAGTGACTCCTGCCATTAATTGAAGCACGAGATTCATTTTGGAAGCATTGCCGACCTCACCGAGATAAAAACTATTTTTCCCCATTGCTTCGAAGCAAGATTGACATTCATCGAATAGAGTTCGATCACCAGCCGCAAGGATCACCAACGTACCCTCTTGTGCTTGCGTTTTGCTACCCTGTACTTGAGCCTCTAAATAGCGGCCACCTTTTGCAGTTATTGCCTCTGCGATATCTTGTGATGTTTCTGCATCTATACCAGTCATTTCTACATATCCTTTCTCTGGAGATATTTCCGTAAGGACTCCACAATTTCCAAACACCATCTAAAAATAATAACATTTTTTATAATATAATATGATAACAAAAGAATGACAAAATTATATGTAAAATAATTTAAAAGATAAACATTGTTACTTACATCTTTAGCTGCTTGAGGATCCGCTACACAAGAAAATGTAATATCGGCAGCGAGAACCACATCGGATGGTGTTAAACCTTGTTCTGCCCCAGCTTTTACAAAATCTGCGCACTAACCAAAAAAACAATACACAATTTAAATTTTTTAATTTTTTAATTTAAATTTAAAATTTTGAAAATTGATGAGACCAACCAATCAAAACATGGAAATATAAATTTATACATAATATTTCATTATATAAAGAAATAAAATAATGTACTTAAATAGAAAATATTTTTGTATTTTTCTTTTCAATTCATAAATTAAGCTTGTTACGGCCCTGATAAGTTTTGATTTAGCATCTTAGCGACACCGCTCGGTGCGACATGGTACTGCAAAAAATCTAACGATAGCGGCTCCGGTAGATGTCGCCACAACGAGCCACTCGCCATTTGCGTCGCCATTCAGGTCACGTACGTAGTCTCAACAGCTTCGAAGCTAAACGTTTCCAGGCTTGCTTGCCACATCAGCAAACGACGCCATTGCATCATTTAAAGATATTTCCCGCATACGGCCAAAAGGTGTATCTACATATTCATTGAGATTCAAAGAATTATAAATTCATTTATCTTTATATGTAGCGTAAAACGAAATATGTTCTGATGAATTTCTAGAAATTTCTAAACTTTCCAATATTTAAGAAATGAACAACAAATCAGTAAAAACAGTTAATATTACAATATTCAATTTGAAAATTATATTAAATTTAATATAATAACGATTTGATTATGTTAAGATTTATAAGATATATATAATACTGTTTTTTATATGAAAGTAAATATTTTTAAGTGAAATTGACGCCATATTTTATCCAATGTATAATGGTGTCATATTTTACGACTTATGCTTTTCACTCAAATTAATTTTTTTCAGCTATTAAATTAATATTTATTCAATTTTTGAATATAATTCATGAATTAATTACAATTTTTTATTGAAATATATATATAATGAACATAAATCAAAAATGTAAAAGAACATTCGTGACATTGACGATTTCTTGTCTTTATGAATATAGCGAGTCAACAAGTCAGTTAAGTATTGTCAACAAAGGAACAGAGAAGATGAGTAGGTTATATTCTTTCAGTCCACAAACAATCTTTAATAATCTTATAAATCTTGATTTTACAATTAAATATGTAATAAATGTTCATCTTTAATCATAAAGCAAATTCTTTGGTTATTAAATGACAAAAGCAATAATAGTAATTTTGTTTTAATATTAATTAATATTTATTGATATTAATACTATTAGTACTATTAGTTGAATAATATTCAATAGTTTGAAACAAATATAAAAATTTATATTTCATTCTTTGCACGTGCACAAAAATAATTAAACAAAAAGTATATCGATCACATTTCAGATCTGCATTATTTTACGTAATATTCCAATCTGAGCAAGCAAGAAAAATTTATTCATATAATATAATCATGATTTTATATTATGAAATATAAAATCATATAATATAATGCTTATACGATTGAAAAATCAAATATGTAAAACAATAATGTTATGCACTGATAACAAAAATTCATAGCATAAATAATTAGGGTTAAAAATTGAATAAATGTACGCAAAATGAAAAAAAAAATGCAAACGATCAATAGGTAAAGAACTTTTTTTTTTTTCTCTTTTTTTATATATAATGCAAAGTGAAGATATGTATTCTCAATTGCTTACACCGTTGCTACGTTCGGATTATATTTGCTCAACTTGCGAAAGTAAAAAAATTTGCAGACAGGATTTAAAATAGCAGCTTAATTTTGTCACGTATAATGTATTTTATTCATTTTAATCATTTTATTCATATTAATGCGATTAATAATTTGGTAACATATGTAAAGAAAAATCCTATTTTAGCTTTTTTTAGAAAACTTTTGAATTTTTTTAATATAAAAATTTCAAAAAGAACTATTATTTTTTATTTAAATATAATAAGAAATTATATAACAAGCTATATTTATGTAACTGCGAAATACATGTCAGTGGATAACCTTGAACCAACTTCAATCGACTTGTATAGTTTCTATCAAAGAAGAAATTTAATGATTTTCCGGAACGAATAAGTCCGTGTATTCAATATAATTGCATACAATATATATCAAATAGTTCAGAATATCTCAAATACCATCCATATAATAAGTTATGATTTTCAAATCTTTCAAAAAAATTTTTTTTTTTTAAAAATTATATAGCAATATTATTTACAATTATAACAATTTACAAAAATCTTTTATTATATATTTCATTAATTAATACTATATTAATTAAAAAAATATTTAAAATTCACATAATTATATATATATATATATGATTATATGATACTTTGAAAAATTAATTGTTATATATTTACCAAATATTATCATATAAAAAGAAAAACATTTACTATCCTGCACAATAAATAGGCATTTCAAATCTGCAATAAAATGAATAATATAATATAATATAATATATTATATATAATATATTGTATGTTGAACATCGAAAGTAATAATTTATTTAAATAATATAAACAACCTTATGTATATTAAATATAATATAATTCTAAAATTAATAGCATTATTTTTGCTGAATTCATTTTTTCTTAAGATTTGATCAATTTTAAAATGATTTTAATCTTTTTCAATTAAATTTTTTCTTATATTCAAGAGATCCATTTTTTCTAAAAAATAAACTAATAATAAAGAACTATACATGTCGATCAACAAGAGAGTTAGATGGATAAGCATGAAACCAGCGTACTAGAATACAAGTTACAAAAGCGAATGTTGTTCAAGAAGAATTATAGTTATGCAGGGTATAGTTCTACAGCTTTTAATGAACGTGCGGAAACTTTTTTATTATATTTTTTATTATATTAATTTTGTTATTATTAATTTACACATGATACATAATCAACAGAAAACACGTGCGTGAGAATTCATGCAAAAAAAAAAACGATTTGTATTTAAGAAGATGAAAAGAATTCCTACAAGGTTTTAAGAATTATCTCGAAGTTTTATAAAAAAGTTATAAATATTAATAACTGATTAATAAAAAAAAATTACTTAATATTTTTATCACATTGATTATATGCAAAAATTAAATTATTTTGGAACTATCGAAATATCCTATAATATCATATCATTATCAGCATACTAAGATGAAAACTCAACTAGCAATTAATTTCACCGAATTGCTGACTTTGCAAGAACTCTCTGAGAGCAAGAATGAACATGTCGAGACGAAAGAACCATGAAGGTAAAGTGAAAGAAGGTACGTTTAATAGAGATATATAGAAATAGTTTATTAAATGATGAATTGAATATTTTATAGATATTTTAATATAATTGAAAAAATTTAAAATTTCTAGAACAATATTAAAATATAATTTTTTTTTAAATTTATAATAATAATAAAATATAATATAATAATAAATTTATAATTAAAAAATTTCTTCTTAGTAAAGTTAGTAAATTAGTTATTTTTTAAAGTTTAGTAAAGTT